GATCGGGTCTCACGACCTTGATCGCCACCTCCCTCCCGTCCCTCATCGAGCCTCTGTAGACCGCTGCCACCGAGCCACAAGCGATAGGAGCGGCGCCCCCGGGCACGCCGTAGCTAGACAGCAAATCTTCGTAGACGCTGCAATCGAACGGCGTCACGGAGTCCTGCAGCTTGACCAGCTCTTCTAAGATCTCCGGGTCCAAGCCCTCTCCGCGCACGGAGACGAACTGCATGACCTTCACGAAGAGAGGGCCCATCCTCTCGGATGTCTCGCGCATCCACCTTCCCAATCCTCTCCTATTCCTATCCCATCTCAGACGGGCGAGCATCTGGAGGGTCGTGGACGTCGTACCGAGAACCCTCTGTGCCCTCTGCAAGTGGACTGGCTGCTCGGCAGGAGGAGGTAGGATCGCTCCCCGAATGGAATGGAACTGCCTGGCTACTAACCGCGACGACGCCATTTGTTTGGTCCTCTATCCTAGTCCCAGAGATTCTCTCGGCCCTAAACCGACGCGTTCTGATAGCGTCTCCATATAGGGCAAACGGGTCTCGGAAGGTGTTATGGTAAACATGGGAACACATAACGACCACGGTGTGTTCAAGATTACGTTATCATTCCTCATGGAAGCCAGCGCATCCGAGTTTGGGTGCAAGTGGCCGTTACCAAAGTGGAAGGTCGACGAGCTCCTTCAGTATTCGAGTTGCCAGGTGATCAAGATACAAAGAGCTTGGCGAACCTACAAGCAGGAGCGACACAGTTGAAGAGTTTTGCCAGGCATTCGAACAGATAACGAGCGACCCATTCGCATGCATGGTCATCCACAACACATCGCATTCGACTCGCATAGAGGATGTCGTGTCGTGGTACAAAGTCGACACTTCATCTGCTACTGCTGATATGTCTCAGCAAGGTGGAGTTGACCACCATGGGCGAGCTGAGATGGGGTAGGTGACCCGCAGTAGGGAGGACTTCCTTGGTACAATTTTCGAGGGTTTGAGCCAGGTAGGTTCCCACAGAGAGCGGCACGGCAATATCGGTCTTGCTCTGGATGATCACGCAGCTTACGGTGACCTCTGGCAACATCTCTCGGAGGTCCATCAGGAAAATGGTCTTGCACGTCGCCAACGCTACGTCCGGACGCACTTCGAGTAGGCTGCTCGTGAACTGCTTGACGGCCGCGTCGTTGGGCTCTTCTACGGCTAGCGAAGCGAAACCAGCGACCCAATCCTCGTAATGATGCTCGACGTTGTTTAAAAGCTCTCGCACTTGCTCTTCTTGGAAACCTCCGACGTAGTCCGTAGAGGGGTCATCGATGTATCGCGGCGAAGAGGCTAGCATGATCACTCTCCGGAACAGATCGGACCTCTTGATGCTGGCAGAGAGCCCGATCATACCGGAGACCGAGTGTCCGACGAAAATGCATTCCGAGACTCGGAGCTCGTCCAAGAGACATATCAGGTCGTCCGAATAGGCTCCTAGTGTAGAGTAGCGTTGAAAATCAAAAGATTTTGCACCAAGAGGAGTCCTCACCCTCGGTGAGGCCGTTAGTGCGGAGAGAAATTTTTCAAAGATCGTCCGAAATGTCTTTCTTCGGTTCGGAGACTCCGTGAAAGCGCCGCTCTGAGACGTTCGGGCATAGGGCAGGTCGTACGTGAGGACTCCGTAACCTCGTCTCAACAGCAATGGTTTCAGGTTGTGCCAGCAGGTGGAGTCGCAGCCGAAGCCGTGACCCAGGACCACGACTGGATTGTCGTCTTTGGATTCGTCGTAAGAAGCTAGAGTGTACTCGGCCCAGCTCATGAGTGATCCCTGAGGATACTTTCGAAAAATCTCCCGCGGAAAAGAGCGCATGAAGTTGTTGCGAGGAGACTTTGTGTCTGACGGACGCGTTCCGAGGCCTCGCACTTCTTCGTTAGGAGTATAAAGCCCACAACCATGAAAGAAGCTCAATTTGCTGAGTTAGTCGCGGACGTCGTGGCAGTTTGGAACACCACGCAAAAACTGATGAAGAGGTTGCGAGATTCTTCTTCCACTTATTCACACGTACAGAACATGAATGACGCCTCTATCGAGGCAATTGGGTTATGCGAAGATCCGTCATTCGATGTGCACCAGTTTACCGTTCTGATGAACCTCTTGAAAACATTCATGGACAAAGACATCGACGGGTTTTTCAAATGTAGTAACGAGCAGGGCAAATGGCAATCTACATGGGTCAAACCGTCCGCCCTTTGACTCGTTCATCGGACGCGGAACATTTCTGTCGTACCTATTTATCGTGAACAGTGCATGGCGGTAGCAGTCAGAGAGTTACCCGACCTCTTCAAGGGGGAACAGTGTTGGAAGATTCGCGTGGAGGACCTCGGGGCCGATCGAGGCGTCTTCATCGTCCGAGAATTCGGGCCGACCGTCTGGAAGACTTGCGTCGAAGACACCCCGGGCCTGGCACTCGCTTGGGACGCCGCGGTCGTCCGATCCGAGGAATTGTGGGAGAGTCAACGCAGCAGAGGGTACGAAGTTCGGACGATGGACGACTCCAAGATCTTTCCTATGTTGGCTCACGAGTACACGAAGCACGCCAACAAACTTTCGGACGCCGTATGCGTGCAGCCCAAGATAGACGGTATAAGGCTGCTGGTGGGAAGAGTTTCGGACGCCGAACTGAAGGCATATAGCAGGACTGGGAAGCGACTGGTGGTACCACATATCTTAAGAGCTCTCGCCCCTGTTCTCGGACGCGCAGAATTCGTGGACGGAGAGCTCTTCGCGCCCTCCCTGACTTTCGAGGAACTCAGCGGCCTGGTCAGGACTCAGACGGCAGAAGGGAAGGACCTCTTGGAGTACCACATATTCGATTGCTTCAAGATCGACGAGAAAAAGGGCGCGCCGTCCGAACAGGGCTTCTGGGACAGGTTCTCCATCTTAAAGGAGCGCCTGGTAGCTTCGGAAGGTGACGTCATAAAACTCGTGCCCACGGAGAGGCGTCCGAAAGCAGACGTGCCGAAGCTCCTAGAAGAGTACGTTCAAGAGGGGCACGAGGGTGTCATCATAAGGAGTCTGGTCGCGCCTTACGTACTGGGAAAGAGGACCTTCTCGCTGCAGAAGCTGAAGCCCTTCAAGACGGAAGCCTTCGAGATCGTGGGCGCGGAGAGTGGTGCGGGAAAGGACAGGGGTTGCGTGACCTGGCAGTGCAGGACGAGCGACGGTATCCCCTTCAAGGTGAGGCCCAAGGGCACGGCCGCACAGAGGCGCGAGTGGTTGGAGAAAGAGAGCGAGTACAGAGGCAAGTACTTGCTGGTGAAGTATCAAGAGTCGACGGCCGGCGGCGTCCCACGCTTTCCCGTGGGCGTGGGTTTCGGATGATGGAGAAAGCCGTGGAAGAGTGGGATTCCGCGGCTCTGAGGCTGTTGAGGGGAACGCTAGAGGAGGGAATGGCGTTCCGGGAGTCGAGCAAGATCGCTTCCGGCATCCCCGAAGTGGTCACGGTCACCTTCCTCGTGCACTGCGACTCTGGGGCGATAGACATAAAGCTGTTGCACGAGAATCTAAAGGATATGGCTGGGATGAGCACCAGCGAGAGCGGCATCGAGATCGCGCTCAACACGAACGACGCGCGCTTCGGAACCACCGGTGGTAGGAGGATCGTGAACAACTCCTTCTACAACCAGGTCTCGCTGACCGCCAGGAAACGAGGCGGCAGGCAGATCAACTGCAAGGTCTTCGCCAAGGGGTGCCTCCTGGTGACCGGGTGCAGGACCATGAGAGAGCTGGACGACATCCTCCGAGGCATAACGAGAATTTTGAAGCGAGCTTGCCCTTCCATCGGGGACCTCAGGATCGCCCGAGCCGAGGCCACCATGATCAACGCCAGCGTTGCCTTGACCGGTCCAGAGAGGTGCATGACCGTCATGCCTTACGCGTTCCTGAGGTGCGTGACCGAGATGGTCGAGTGCCGCCGTCTGACGGGCAGAGTCACGGTCGAGTACAACCCCACGGTGTACTCTGGCATAAAGCTGAAGGTGGTTCGAGGCACGGCCCTCATCTTCACCACCGGCAAGATCATACTGACCGGCTGCAAGACCCTAGACGAGGTGCTCGGGCTCTGGAGGACCGTGCTGAAGATAATTACTTTGAACGTAGACAAGGAGGTCGTGATCTTCTCCGACCACGCTCGCAAGGTCCGCAAGGACGTCAAGCAGAAGAAGAGACAGAGGGCGGTGGGCGACTCTGATAGCCCCAGCCTGAAGATCAACGTCAGATGAGAAACGATCGTGTTTTTTTCCTAGGTAATGTCAATACACGTGTGGGTGTGCGAACATGAATGGAGCGTCGCTCGTCATAGTGATCATCGTCTGCATGTTGGTCATGCACGTGTCCACTCTGGTGATCTTTTTCTACAAGGACCGCATCATGGCATTCTTGGATGAGATGTCCACCGACGTGTTACTCAGCGAGATGTCCAAGCGGGGCCTGATACCGGCCTCCGCTGCCATCGCGTCTGCACCTACTACGACGTACGATCCTCCGCCTATGGATTTTTACGAGCCCGCTCTCGAATACCGCCCTTGGCGGCCGTACGAGCAACCCGTGGACAGGAGGGTTCCTGCCCTCCCACCGCCCGCGAAGAAGCCGGAACGACGGATCATGCCTCTGCAAGATTCGACGGACATACCGGCGGCGCCGTGCGACATGTATCAGCCGTTCATGCACCCCGCGTTCGGGCAGGAGTACGGCCAGACGGAAGGTCTGGTGACCGCGGATAAGACCGTGGACTGGAACGCAGCGACCGCGCGGTCGTATGCGCCTCAGAATTGCAAGAACTACGTCAACCTCAACATCACCTAACGAAAGCCCCTGTACGGCGCACGAGACGTGCTCTCTCCGGTATCGACCCCGTCTTCCTTTCGCCGGCTGGTCGCGCTGTCCCCCGTCTCCGGGGAGCTCAGGTCCTCCCAATCGTCCTTGACGCGCTCTTGCTTCGGATGCGGGCTGCTCTCCACCC